CTTCCTGGCTGTGTGACCTTGGTCAGTACCACTCACTGCTCCCATTTTCCCATTGGTAAAGTAAAAGAGAGGTAACAGGACCTAAGCACTGTGGTAAGAATTAAATAAGATAATTTAAATAAAGATCTTAGAATAGTTCTCATTATAGCAATTGCTTAGGACCTATTTGTTATTATTATCATTAACTTCAGGAAATTGGTCTTGGATACCATGTGCAATGGTTCAGAGCCAAGGGAATTAGAGCCAAGGGAGAGCTGATTCAGCAACCTAGAAAGAGAGGAGGACAGGACAGAAGGACACAGAAAGCAGGGATCCAGAGTTTCCAGCCTCAGAAGCAGACAGCATTAAAGGGAGAAAAATGTTTTTGGGGACTGGCAAAATATGCAGTCAAATTTTGGCTCCACCATGAGCTGTGTTGCCTTAAACTGACCATTCCAGTTTCCTGATCTATAAAATGAGGATAGTTCTTTGATAGAACATTAGTTCTTTGATAGACTCACTGTGAACCCCTATGTGAATTCATGTAAAACCCTGGAGAATCATTTCACGTGTAGTAAATACTGAATCAACACATCCTTGTCTCCCTCTAGAAATAAAAAAATCCAAAATTGTGATACAGGAAGAGGATCTAAATCCCTCTTTTAGCATATGGTGGTTTTTATCCACATGTACATCTTTCCAACCAATGCACTCCAGCTGCTAAATTATGTCTACTTAGCCTGAGTCAGAAAACACAGGCAACTGAAATGACAGACACACTGTTGGTGGGAATGTATACTAGTGCAATGACTGTGGAAATCAGTGTGAAGAGGCCTCAAAAACCTAAAGATTAAAATTCCAGTTGAACCAGTTATTCCCTCGTAGGTATCTTCCCAAAGAGATTAGAGATAGCATATTACAGTGATCCATGCATAACTATGTTTATAGCAGCACAATTCATAATAGCTAAATCTTGGAAGAGGCCTATATGTCTTTAAGTAAGGAAAATGTAGTATTTATGCCCAAGGGAGTACTACTCTGTCACAAAGAGAGATAAACTTGACTCATCTGTAAGAAAATGGAATGCACCTCCCTCAAGACCATAAGGTTAAGCAAGATAAGTCAGACATGGAGGCTGAAATGTCACATGATTTATTATATGGAAAACTCAAAACATAAATAAATTAAAGAGCAAACTAAAATAAGAAACAAGGAGATAAATCTTTTGCAAAAGGGAAGGGAACCATGAGATGGAGGGAGGAGAGGGGAAGAAGGGGATGAAAACACAATTGAAACGTGTTGTGGACAGGGACCACCTCCTCAGGATGTGTGTAATCACTGTGTGAAGCAAACATGGAATAATAAAGAGAAGGAGGAGTTGAGGGAGAAGGAGGAGGAGAGGAGAAGAAAACATGATCAAGAGTTCGCTCTGGTCCTTGCCGCAAGGATCTTCTGTTACCTACTCTCCTTTTAGAGTCTCAGGTTCTCCTCCAGCAAAAAGAAAGTGTCACCTCCCCACCTGCCTTGGGCAAAGCTAGGGTTCCTGAGATCTATACTGCAACTACATTTATTTGTGCTCAATACTTGTAGCTTAAACCACAGATCACACTTAGTCACTAAAACTCTAACCTAGTCCTCCGCTGAGACATACAGATGTGAACACAGACCTCCAAATACAAGCCCTGAGAAAAGCTATGAAGTGGAGTATGAAAACAAATGAAATACGAGCCAAGGGCTGGTGTTTCTCTCCCACTTAACTGCATTTTGTGGAAAATAAATACTTTTAAGAATTAATATTGTAAGATGGTTTTATACTGAATAATAAGTTTTCAAGAGTAATGGTGAGTTTTAATACCATGACAGCGTGACATTCTCTTCCTTAGCATTTAGATGAGGAAAATGAAACAGGAAGAATGAGAGCATCGGAATTAGGTGGTTTTTTGCATATATTAAAGTCAGAGTCATTATATGGTGGCTTCCCGCTCTGAGCCCCTGACCTAGTCCAGAAAGGCCAGCCTGATTCTCACTCAGCCAGTCTTAAATTACAGCAAGAAATCTAAAGGGAGGTGGAAAAGGGAGAGTTGAAAATGAAGTTCAAATCCAAGGTCTACCTCTGCCTACTCAAGCAGTGCCTGTGAACCTGCACAATGATCACACTAAAACTTGACTTCCCAGGTCGCTCTTGCTTCATAGAAGCAAATCTCCCTCTGGTTTCACAGCGGGCCCTTGCCCTGGGCTTTTTCTAGCCCCTGTGGGAGCTGCATCCTGAGAGCTTGGAGAGAGGCCCCTGTTCCCTTTGCTCTGTGGTCCGTGGCACTAGTTCATGAGATCTTGTCAGTCACAGCTCATCCCAACTCTGCATTTCAAGGCATCGTATCAGGAGCTTCACATCCACCATGGTGGGAATATTTCATCACGGAAATCAGTAAACACCACAAATCAAATCACTGTTTTGTTTTTTTTTTTCTTCTGAAAACAACTTGTTCAGTTTACCAGCACGCTATTACTCACAAACCAAATTCTCTCATTGTCAAGCAAAAAAAGTCTCTGCTGGTGGTGTTCAACTCTACCACGTGTCTACTGCAGCCATAATTTCCCAAGACCTAAATGTTGGCAGTGAGGGGTAAAAGATAGCAGGCCGAGAAGGGCAAGTGACCCCTCTGGTACCTGGCCTGGACTCCCAGGCACACTGGCGCACATCCACCCTTTCATGAAGCCCATCCTGCTGGATGCCTACGGTGCTGCTCCCTCGGGAGTGGAAGAGAAGGTTCTGGGTTGACCAGAAGCAAGGATGGAGGGTAGGAAGCCAGAGAAGGGGCCCTGGAGATTCACCTGTGTGTTGCTTTGCTAATGAAGCTGCTGTTCCACCCACTTTACCCAGATCCCTCTCCTTACGTGCTACTTGGACTAAGAAAAGGTAAATTGAGGATCATGGGCTCTGGGGAGAAACACAAATTTTGAAAGGGGCCCCTTGACCTTTTTTGTTTGTTTCTTTGCTTTTGATTCTCCAAATAAACAGTTCTTCAATACCTCTTTCTCTCTCCCCCAATAGCTATGCCTAGGAAAAGGAAGACATAGGTCAGGGTGAAGCATTCTGCTGTCTCAAGGAGGCAAAACTTCCTAAGAAAATTGAGAAATACTTCTTCCTCAAAAGCATTGGTGCCAGTTTAAAAAAAAAAAAAAAAAAAAAAAACAACTAAGGGCTGCCCATGATGGGAGCTGTGGCCCTATGTGACGAACGTGATGATTGTCAGCCTAGAATGAGACTCCTCTCAGTTGAATGTGCAATTGAATAGCAGTGAATATACAGTTCACACCACATTTCAGTGTGTGTGTGTGTGTGTGTGTGTGTGTGTGTGTGTGTGTGTGTATGTGTTTGAGACAAAGTCTGGGCCCTATTGAGCTAAATAAAATATAATAAATCAATTTCTTTCTATTTTTTTCTTCCTTTTCTTTTTTAATATGACTACATTATGCAGCTGTTCCTGCTGGACTGGACTAGCTTATAGAATCCGGGTTTTAAATTATTCATTCAGCATCTGTCTGAAGGCACCTCATCACAGGGAACTTACTACTCCTCAACAGACTACTCCATTTAAGACAACAGAACCCTTAGATTTTCTCAGGTCTGAATTTTCCCCTTTGGGGCTTAGAGAATATTTTAATTCTCTTACACAAGATAGAAATATTAGGAAAGATAGAGATAGAGAGGGGGCCTCACCTACCAAGTCCAAGTTCCAGAGACTCTTCTCCAGCACCTACTATCAGCTGAGAAAGCCACTATGTAGCCAAGACTCTGGACCCCAGGAGTCTCGGTTCAGCATGTTTTCTTGAGAAACTTTGCCTTCTAGTTCTTAAAATACCACTCTTACCAGAAACTAATTATTGTTGCAGGAGGAGGGAAAACCACTTCTTTTCACACTTAATGCTTATACCAAACACATACTGTGGGTCAGAGATTTGTAACTCATCCAGTCAACACTACAACTCATGCAAAAGGAAATACTATTTTCCCCATTTTATAGACATAGAAACTAAGGCACAAAAGTGTAAGTCACTGCTCAGGGTCATACAGCTAGCAAGTGACAGAGGCAGGGTACCAACCATGCTGCCATCACTTGTAATTTGATAATCACTACTCTCCATGGTTAGTAGGATCCAGTTGTCAAACACTCTCTCTGCAGGGAGTCCCCCCTCCCACCACCATCACAGCAGGGCTCTGTGCAGGGCCCCTGGGACAAACTCTACTCCAGTTAGCTGGTGGAAATAAAGGCGGGTGAGGAACAACAGCAAAGCACCAAAGTTGAAATCCCTCGTAAACCATCTCAAAAATAAAAGCAGGAATAAAAATTGTCCCACGCAGTCTTGCTGAAGCTCAAGCAGGTTGAGTGGAAGAAACAGAAAGACTCAATAACATCTTAGAGATTTTGAAAAGCTCTGAACCTACTCCTAAAAAGCAATCACCTATCTTCAGCCAAAGCGCGATTAAAAACTGAAAGCATCTGCTCATGAGACAGTTTGACCAATTTAGAAAACAGATAAGGATGAGCCTCCCAGCCATAAAAATTGCAAATTATTAAAAATGGTTCCCAGGAGAAAAATGAATGTGGCAATCACATGGAATCCCAGGGAGAGGGGAGTTGCTGGGTGATCTTGCCCTTGGATGTGGGAGAAGAATCTTTGTCCTCCTCCTCTCAAACTGAGAGTCTCAGAAAGTAATTGTTGGGAGTTAGTTGGAAATGGAGCGGCACACCACAGAGCAGGAAATCCTTGCACAAGCTGAGGAGAGAGAGAGCCGCAGGGCTCCTGCAGGCAGCACCTGTCACGCGGGAAGCTGTCTCACTGCTGGGCTTGTAAACCTGGGGCAGGCTGAGATTGTACCTGTGTGCAGGTGCTGTGAGGGAAGTGTGGTCTCCTCTCACAGGTGAACACAGGAAGGACTCGTAGCATGAACCTCAAAGATGAAAGTACGCCCCAAGCCCCCACGTCATTGCAAAATTCCCACCTCATGGCTGACTTACCCAGGAGCTGCACAGCCACAGGCACGACAGAGACAAAACCCAGGAGCAGGGACAGCCTCATGGCCCAGGGTTTATCCTTTTCTCCCACGATGCAAAGGAGAGCATGAAAAAGAAACACACAGGACCCCTGACAGTCCCCTCTGTCCCCCAGTCTGGCCCGGGTCCTCAGGGTGAAAAGGAGGCCAGAGGAAGCTGCCCCTTTTAAAGGGTTCCTGAATTTAGGAAAACCCTCCAGTAAGGAGATATCCTGTCACATGGGGGTGGTTACAAAAACAGGAATTCAAAGTTACAACTTTGCTTCGTAAGCTAACTTCTGAGAAGGGCAGGCACAGGGGGAAGAGGAGAAAGGCACACGTGCGAGAGAAGGGTGACAACAGGGAGGGGTGACAACAGGGAGGGGTGCACAGCTGCCCTGGCTTGCAGGGAAGTGACTGGGCCAGGACCTCTCTGCTGCTAAGTGTGCAGCTGAGTGGAGAACAGGCTCCTATGGGAAGCAGGGAGTTAGGGGTCGCTATGCAGAGACACCCACTCTAAAGGGACAAAAACAACAGATGCTAAAGGGTAGTTTTCCTGGGGAACAGTTTTCATGGGGACAGTTTTCATGGGGGACAGTTTTCCTGGGGACACTTTTACTTAAGAGGCAACTGATCTTATTCTCTATACTCAGTGCTCTGAATCACCCTCCTCCTTTTTTCCTGGAAATTTTTAAAAGACACGGTTTAAATAGAGCTTGGCTCCTCTACCTGGAGGAAAAGTGACAGAAGCTAAATCTAAATTGGAATTCCAGGAAAACCAAGAGCGAAAGAATTCTAGGAGCCTTTGTCCAAGTCAGAGCAAAGAGGGGCAAAGGATGGACAGGAAAGTGTGGCAGTTGGGCCCCGCCATAGTGGCCATCCTCAACTTGGAAAGGTCCTCCAGTGAGAAGAAAACCTAGGTTTTAGGTCAGATGTCTGTTAGTGTCATGATCAGAGAGAATCTTTGTTTAAATGAAAATAAAAAGTTAACAGAGTTTTCATGAAACACAATATCAGCCCCAACATCATTTTTGCTATGTTCTTCAGAAGTAAAACATGATTTAAAAACATCTTGAAACAGACACTAATGATTAGATAGCTGCGAGGTGACTGAGTGTGGGAGATGTTTAGTAACTGAAAGAAAGAAGCTACTGGAAACATTGTATTTTTGAAATTTTAAATGAATGTTTTATCTTCAAATGGGAAGAAAGTTCCAAAGATTCTCCATCTTTGTGATAAAGTTGAAAACTTTACTTCCTAAAGAAAATTGTGATACAGTCCTCTCATAAATTTAAGATTATTACAGGAAGAGAAAAGATGACAAAATGTAGGACAGAAGGTCAGTGTTTTTCACAAAGCCAGTGCCTAACTGACCCAAAAAAATTTGCTTGGGAAAGAGAATAAATGAAACAAAAATGTTTCAAACATGGTTTTATCAATTTAGATTGAAGAATTTTAATGAATCATTTGTAGCTTTTAAATGTTATTTTAAAAATGTCGTCATATTGCCTTGAGAGTTTTGCCTAAGTTGGATTTATATGATTTCCAAAGGAAGTACAATTTGAGTAATCTTTACACTCATTCTCAGGATTTTTTTTTAACTATAAAGTGTGTCACATCACATTGAGGTAGTAATCAAAATTTGGAATCAGTAGTAAAGCCTGTGGCTTTGAAGCAACACGAAGCCAACTTTTCCACATGATATTTATCTGCATACCCTTAACCTTTTGGAAATAAAGATTTGTTAAGCTGGAAGAGGTGACCAAGGCAAATAAGAAACCTGCTCTTAGGGAAGTAACATATCAGATGTATCAGATGGCAAAATAGTAAGTTCCAAGAACCCATTCTTCCATCTAAACAACTACTGAACTGGCAGAAACTGTCTAAAATAACTATTTTTGAAGTTTAGAGTCTAGCTAAAAACTTGGACCAAGGAGGCAAAAAAAGGCAACAACAACAGCAAAACCCTTAATCTGAAACCTACAGAACACTGACAAAAGAAAGTCAATGTCTACATAAGTGGAAAGATATCCAGATTCATGGATTGGAAGGCTTAATATTGTTAAGAGGATGATATTGTTGAAGGCAATTTAAAGATTTATGCAATCCTTATCAAAATTCTAATTTTTTGCAGAAATAAAAAAATTAAAAGTCACATGGAATTTCATGGTATTCCACATAGCCAGATCAGTTTTTTAAAAAAGTTGGTAGAGTCATACTTCTTGATTTCAAAACTTACAATAAACCTACAATACAGTAATTTAAACAATGTAATTTAGCATAAGGACATATAGGTCAGTGGAATAATTAGCCTAAAAACAAATCCTGATGCATGTGGCCAATTGAGTTTTGACAAAATATTAAGATCATTTAACAGTATTTTGTGGTTCTTTTGGTGTTTAGTGTAGGGATTTTTGTTTTTCTTTTGCAGAGCTAGCAATTATACTCTTTGCAATGAGGTATGTCTGGAGTCCTCTTTAATTTTTGCTTTCTTTCCTTAGTTCTTTCATATATATATATATATATATATATATATATATATATATATATATTGAGACAAGATCTTGCTACATCACTAAGCTGCCCGTGCTGGGCTCCAACTTAAGATCCTCCTTCCTCAGGCCCTCAGAGTTCTGAGATTACAGGCATGAGCCATCACACCTGTTCAAGAACAGTGTTTTTAATAAATGATGCCAGGGAAATCGTATAAGCACATGCAAAATAACAAAGCTGAATTCTTACAACTTATAAAAATTAACCCAAAATGAATCAAAGATTTAGGATTATAAATCTCTTAGAAGGAAGCACCAGGAAGACTTTCATGATATTGGGTTCAACAGTTTCTTAGATACGATGCAAAAAACACAAGCCACAAGAAAAAATAAGTAAATAAATAATTTTATCAAACTTAAAAACTTTTATTTATCAAAGGATGCCATGAAGGTAGAAAAAGACCACCCATAGAATAAGAGAAAATATTTGTAATCATACAATTAGTATTCATAGCAAATAAACAAGTATGACTTAATTTTAAAAATAAGCAGTGAACTGAAAGACAGTTCTCTAACAAAGATCTAAAATGACCAGTGAACACATGTGAAACATCCTGAGCCATCAGGGAAACAAAAATCAAAACTACAATGAGATGCCATTTCATATCTAAAAGTATGTCTTTTATCAAAAACTAGTCAAAAATAATGTTGGTGAAGATATGAGAAACGGGAATGCTTGAGCACTGAGAATTTTATAGTATAGTCGCTATCAAAAGCAGTTTGAGGGGGGCTGGAGATTTAGCTCAGCGGCATAAGCGCCTGCCATGCAAGCAGGCAGTCGTGAGTTCGATCCCTGGTATTGAAAAAGACAAAAAAAAAAAAAAAAAAAAAGCAGTTTGAGGGGCTGGGGATTTAGCTCAGCGGCATAAGCGCCTGCCTTGCAAGCAGGGAATCATAAGTTCAATCCCTGGTACCGATAAAAAGGAAAAAGACAAAAAAAAAATAGCAGTTTGGCAGTTCCTCACAAAGTTAAATATAAAATGACCATATGATCCAGTATTTCCACGTTCAGATAGACACTGCAAAAAAATGAGAACATATCTGTACAGCAGTGTTCATAGAATTATTTTTTACAATATTTAAAAGGTAAAATAAACTCAGGGGTTTATCAGAAAACAAACAAAATGTAGTGTATATGTGCAGTGGAATACTATACAGCCATGAAATCAATCTTGGTTCTGTATAACCTTTAAACATTATGTCAAGTGCAATAAACCAGGCATAAAAGGAGAAATATTGTGTGATTCCACTTACTTGAGGTGAATAAAATAGGAAAACCCATAGAAAGAGAAAGAAAAGAGCTTATCAGAATGTGAAAAGATATGAGGGCAAAGGAAAATAGTTATTACTTAATGAGTATAAAGGTTATGTCCTGGATGATGAACGTTCTAGAAATAGTGGCAATAGCTAACTTTATGAATGCACATGAAAGCTCCTGAATTGTACAGTAAAAAGACAGCAACAATAGTACATTTTATGTTACAGATTATTTTACCACAATTTTTAAAAATCTCATTGCTTTTCTCTTTTTGTATTTTGCTTTTAGTTTTGGTTCTAGTTTCTCGTTAGCTATTAATGATGGCGGTTGATTCCATCTATTCCTATCTTCAAGCTGAAACTAAAAAAATTTCTTCATTTGGTACCCAGCAAGACAAGTGCTGAATTATGTCATTTCCTCGTAACCTTCTCCACTATCAGCCACCTGACACTCTCAGTTCCACATAAGAAATTCTGGTCTGCTTTGCCCTCAAACCCTTCCAGTGAAATTAGCTCAACAAATTCCTGGAAAACCTATTAGAATAAAGTGAACGTCATAAAAATGCAAGCACTAAGTGTGTGGAAGAGTTATGTTTACAATGTGCTGTAGCCTGTTTAATGTGCAAAAGCATTCTGTCTTTTAAAAAATTGCATGTATTTTAATTTTAAAATGGTTTCTTGCTGGGGCTGGAGGTTTAGCTCAGGGGCATAAGCGCCTGCCTGGCAAGCTAGAGGTCTGAGTTCAATCCTCGTTACCAAAAAAAGGTTTTTTGTCTTAGTTACTTTTTACTGGTCACTGAAACAAAATACCTGATGGGAAAGGAAAGGTTTATTTCTTACAGTTTTTGGAGGTTTCAGTCCATACTCAGTTGGCTCCAAGGCAGGATGTCATGGAGGGGCTGCAGTTCATGGCGGCAGTGAACAGCAAGGCAGAAACTGGCAAGAGAGAGAGAGACATGCCTTCCTCCAGCCATTACATTGTATGTTGGCTCCAGCCCTAGGCGGGTGTAGCACTGACACCAACGATCCAAGCGCTAGACAATACCAATCACAAATGCACAATGCAAACTCACGAGGCCTGGGGGCCACCGACATAAACCATGGCTGCTTTCTTGCTGAAAAAGAAAAACTGCTAATGATCTTAGGAGGCTTTAGCAAATTCCAATCTTCATGCTACTGACTGGTCAGGACAGTGCTTGCTGAAGTCTTGAGTGCCTGCTGCAGGTCTTCGAGTGCAGGTTCTGAGAGATGCGCTCAGCCCAGGGCGCTCCCTGCCTGAAAGGTGTCAATGATGCAAAAGTTTCCCAATAAAGACATGGCCTATAAAAGTAAATACGTCTATGTAGTGTTTCTCAGATGAAACTAGTGCTCCATTCACAAGTTTTCTCTTATTAAGTAGGCCTCCCTTTTAATAGGCA